CGGCTGGGGAGCGGAGAGGGGAAGGCAACTGGGGCGGGGAGGCCCCGGTCAGGGAGCTGGACCGAGGGAGGGCGTTTTCCTCAGATGCAAGAGCTCTTAAAATGTGTCCACCGTCCGGTTAGGTATGAATCAAGACCATGGGCAGTAGGCAGACCATGGTTGATTTTAACTTTCGTTTTTCATGGCTTAGCATATTGTGCAAAGGCAAGGATATTTTAATGGCATTATAGAAATGCAGAAAAACGTTTCCCCGGGCCTCAAGCAGCGGCACCCGGAGCCCTTTTGTTGGACTGGGCGCTCCGGCTATGCCGGCCGTGGAGTCCGGGCTCTCCTACCTGGCAGAACGAAGGTGGGCTTGGATTTGGCACGAAGCTTTCTCAGGACCACCGTCGCCTACAGTAGCCATGCTGGGGTGGGGATTTCATGCGGCCCACGAGGCCTCCCCGAGTGATCGATTCAGCAGGTGTAGCGGAAGGACAAGGCAGGCGAGAATGCTCTGCAGGTAGGGATTCTTCTCTCCGGTGCCTCATCCTAGTCAGAACCGCTCCGGCTGGAGATCACCAACTGTGCATCCCCTCAAGGGATCCGACTGGGGATTGTCCAGTGACTATGCAAGTTCAAATGGAGACAACAGAAACTGGACTGAAAACTCATTGACTGTATGACTCTGGCGCTCGTGAAAGCGCCCATTCTCCTTTGGGCCCTTCAGGGCATCTTGGATCACGGCCCAGTGGCAAAGAAGCTGACAGAAACCTTGGAGACACGTTGGCTGAGTTTTTTCACAGTCTTGATAATGAAATTAACGCTCACCAACGCGGTGCTGAATGATAATCAAATAGACCAGGGTGGCACCACACGCCCATTTACAAAAAACTAGCTAAGCTTGGAGAGTCGTCATAAAGTATGACTTAAATTGACCCAAGTATGCTGAATAATAGCACTGGGGAGTCTCTTGGAGGTCTTAGACCCTGTGCCATTCCAGACAAGTATTCCTTTAATCTCCTTTTGAAAACAGTGTTGCAGCACCCACAGCTCCCAGAGGCAGGCTGTGCCGATGATCGTTCCTGCTTTCAGAAAATCTCTCCTTGTTAGTCAGCTCTCTCTCTAGTAATATTTCACTCATTACTTTTTGTCCTGCGCTTTGCTGCCTTGGAGGACAGTTGCCCCCCCCACCCCCCACTACAAAAACCTCTCAAGTGGTGGAAGATTGACATCACCTAGTCCCTAGTCTTCCTCTCCATTCGACTGGTCGTGCCCCGGTTCTCTCAACTGCTCATTGTCGGTTTAGCCTCTGTGCCCTTGATCATCTTCTCTGCCTTTCCAGCCTCTCAGGATCTTTGTTGCATCCTGCTGACCAGAAGTGGACCCCGTCTTCCAAGCGAGGTCACCCTGGGGCAATAGAAAGTGGCACCGTCGCTACTTGTGACCCTTCGGTTGATGCAGCCAAGGGTTGCACTGGCTTTCTTGGCAGCTGCAGCTTGGCACGGCTGGCTCATACTTAAGTGGTGATCCACTAGAACAACTAGATCCCACCTCTTAGAGCTACTACTCCAGAACCACCAGAGAGGAAGTGGGCCCCTCCCAGGGAGGGCAGATGGGGCTGCTCCCGTCACCCCCAGCAGCTCAGGCCCTTCTTATCGGATCATTTCCGCAGGAGTGGGCTCAACTCCCGGACCCCTCCCTCTGGCAAGGCCGCCCCACATACTGGGGGTGGGGAGTCCTGCAGGAACTGGGAGGAGTGGGCTCCCCTATCCAACAGTGCTGCTGTATAATGGATCAGGTCTGGGGCCTGCGACTTGCTCCAGACAGATTGTAAATATGAAAATATGAGTTTAATAACTGGAATAATTTCAAAATAAATGAGTAAAACCATTTTCCGAGCAAAACATCAATGCTAGAACAATTTTAATAATGAAATAATTTATTTTCTAACAGTTGAACAATACAGAAGTATACATATACACAGCAAGGTTGTCTAAAACATGTAATTTCTAAAAAGGCATGTGCTAACTGTGATAAAAAGCACCATTATATGGTCTTGACACCGGATTTGTAATGATGTGGTATTTACATTTGGAAACTGAATCCTCGCCCCCCCCCCCTCCCTCCCCCTCCGCTGCTCCCTCTTAGGCTGTGTGATAATTTGGAAGACTCCAGAACCAAATCAGAAGTTCAGAATTGCAAGTGCGTTGTTGTTCAGAGCACCTGTGCGACGACACAGGCGAAGAGAGAAGGACAGCACAAAACGAAAGCCAGAGATGCCTCAAGCAAGTCAACTTTGGGGCATGTCAGGAGGAAAGAGCAGGCGGCAGCCGGAGAGAAAGAGACTGTTTAAGTGTCCTTCGCAGTTAAATAATAAAGAGGTTTGCTAAAATAATCTTGATACATACATTTTGTAGCATTAAAAGAAATCTCTTCTGCTCAATAATTTGGGATAACTATTATTTAAAACAAAAGCATCATTGATTCATAGTTGTACAATGAAGTTCAGCTAATCATAAGAGGAAAAATGCCACTTGGGTTAGCAGGAAGGGGGGGGGACCCAAGGAGGCAACTTCCTGTTTGTAATCGGGGAGCAAACGTGTATGTAAAAGCAGTCTTCGTCCCAATACAGTTAAGTGTCAAAACCTGAATTTGCGACCAAGGGGGGCAAAAGGACCCCACGAGTGAGTCCCATTATATTGCTGTACGTCAGATGCCAAAATTGAACTAGGCAGTGAGCACTTCAAAAAAGAAACCCCTCCCCCGCTTCACCCCTCCCAGGGAACCCGGCGGGGCTCCCCCCCCTCCGGGCTGTGTTTGTAAACGCCTCGGCAGAAACGGAGTTCTCGAGAGGCGCGAGAGAGACCTGGGTCCCTGGGAAGAGAGAAGGGCCCGTGGCGGGAACAAAGTGCTAAAATGGCAGTTGGCAGCGCACACCCTGCTAATGCCCAGAGCTCTGCAACCTTGTTTGTGGCACCTAATTACACATTTCAAATAAGTGCTTTGAATTTGAATCAAAAACAGGTATTCACACAAACCCTGGAAAAACAGTTCACAAGATGTGTCTATCAGCACCTTGAAAGCTCTGCTTTGTTAGAAAAATACACAGTAATAAAATTTCTGGGTGTTCAACACTCAGGAAAAGATTCACCAGGTAAAGACAATACTTTTGGGATATTTCAGATTGTCACCCTGACAGCCACGTTTATTTTGGATGAATAAGAGCACAAATTCTCAACTTCCATTTCCAACCAAGTATCCCCTGGATTTGCTGTCTGCAAAAAAGTTGCTCAGTGCCGCAGTGTTTAGTGTGGTCTTTGAAGCACACCCACGCACACCCACACAAACGTCCAGCTGTAAACACAGATAGAGAAACGCAGCTCCCCATGAACGATCTACAAAATTAATTTTCTGCAGCTTATCACATAATAATGAATGCTGGTGGATCAGTGAATAGGGAGGAAAGGCTGGCTACACCGGCATGTCGCCTTTGACGGCCCAGCCTCCACCTTAACGGGGCAGCCCAGTCCCTGCTGCCTGCACCATTGTTCCAGGGCAGCCCAGCCAGCCGGCCAGCGTAGGAAGTTCCGGTTCCTCTCCCTCCACAAGGCAACTGGTGTGGCTGTTCACCCACGGCTACACCGCTGCTGAGAAACATGGCCCAGGGCTACACACAACCCTCCGGAGCGCTTGGGCAGGGTTCAGGCGGGACGGAGCCTGCAGGCGGTGGGGCAACTGTCTCAGGGATGGATCCAAGGGCAGCCCTCCCCAAGACGCTGGGAGGGGCCCTCAAAGCCTCTCGGATAAACTCATCTGTTCATTGAGATGTTTTTGAAACATCAGAGATAGCTTTAATCGAGCTTCTGAAATTAGTGCATCATCCTTTATGGAGTTGTAATTATTTTCTGTACCAACCACATTTTGAAAGGACCACATCCAGAAAGTGCAAAGCTCAATTACTGGTTCGCAATAAGGACAACAAAACGAAACTCCAAAGTACTTTACTAAAGAAGAGAGTGGCTGCACCCTCCAGAGTCTACTTTCTCCAATGCACTATGGACACACCCACCACTTCCATTTATTCAGAGGGGGAGCCCTCCTGGCCAGGAGAGGTCTGAAGTAAACTGTGCCCAGGAACTCACGAAAGGCACAACAATAATTAAACAGAAGAAGAAGAAGAAGAAGAAAGTAAGTTTGGTTACTTCTAAAGAAAAACATGCTAAGTTTACCCTTTCAAATACCTTCCAAATCAAAGGCTATTTTGAACTCTAAGATGACAACATGGAGTTGAATGCGAGAGGCAATTTTATGCAACTCATTAACAAACTCAAAGGCCTCTGGCAAGGAACCTGTCCAAATCAAGGGGGTACAAGCTGCAGGCTCAGTCTCCCTGGAGGGTTTTCCGCAGGGACTCCTAGAGGCCAGCCAGCTGCTAGACTGACGCAGGAGGAAAGTCTCCAGCAAGGAAGGGGTCAGTGCAGGTCAGCTGGCCCCTGAGGATTCCAGCTCTTGTTTCGAGGCAGCTCCCAGACACCGAGATATGGAGCTCTTTAGTCATCCGCTAGCCCCACTTCCCATCTCAGAAACCAGCTTTCTTCAAATAAAATCCACTTCCATATTATTTGCTTGAGTATCTGGTAGTGGATACAAGCAAACATGGAATACACAGTAAAGCGCCACTTGCCACATAGCCCTTTGAGAGTGAAGTGACAGGAAGTTGGCTGGACTAGAGCCGGCCTGTAAGTGCTGGGGGAGAACTAGCTGCATACAAAGAATCCTTGTGAAAAGTCACTGGCAGCCCAGAAACTGGGCCGCCGCTCAAAGCAAAAAGGAGGAGAGGAAGTTTCATTAGACCTGGACATACAAAGTTTCCTAATCATCTATAAAAGCACAAAATCATAAGAATAGTACATCAGGTTGATATAAAAATGAATAAATACTATTTATAGACCACATTATGTACATTTGCATGTGCTCTACTCGGCTTAAAGGAAAAGCGCTGCAGATGTGTCAGGGGGGCAGAGAAACAGCAGCCCAACATCCCACATCCAAACCAAAACCACACACAGGGCGCACTGGGCGGCCTCCCAAAGGATGTCACTGGGGAAAAGAAGTGCTAGGATGCCAAGAGGGCAGCCATGGAATTCCTCGGAGGAAATCGCCTCAGCCATTCAGGGAAAGCTAGCGCAGCTAACTTCGTCACTCAGTTATTGCTGAATTCTTAAGGAAACAGGTCGGACTAGTACCAAGTATACAAACGAGGCATCCTAATTCACTTGTGCTAAAGGGGTTGAGATCAGCTTTGTTCATCTCTCTGAGGTAGAAAAAATTGTCCCAGAGACAAAAAGGGAGACTCAGCAGAGCCCGGGGAGCTGCTGGCAACCAAAGGAACAGGCAGCTATCGATGCAAAGACGACATCATCAAGATGCCCCAAGGGTCGTATTTGGTCATCTGACGTGAAAATATTGAGGTCCTACCCGGAGAGGCAGCTCCAAGGGGAAACCCTCCCCAGTACAATCCCGCTCGGCCGGCCCTTCTTCTGCCAAACTGAGTCTCTTAGACACCTTTCTCAATCCTATTCCCAACCTCAGGGTTGGCTACTTTATTACTAGAATGACTGGGGACTTTTCAGAATAATTTTTTTAACAGTGACTGGAAAGATTCACTGCACAATTCCCTAACCAGCCCATGTTCTTCTTCCAAGCCTCTCGTGTCATTTTTAACCTCTGCCTGCCGCTGGGATACAACGAATGCCAAAAAAAGTAGGGTTCCTTTTACAGTGGCCGTGCCTGACGACTCGTCTGGCTTTATCTACGTCACCCTGGGCCCTCCTACCTTCACCCAGAATATGAACTGCAGCCCAGGCCCCAAACACGGATGTGGCTGTTACCGCAGCCGTATTCCGGGGGCTGCTAAGAATTCTGGCTGGAATGTTCAGTCGCGCAGAGATGAATTTACGGTTAGGAAAGAGAAGCTAGGGGGCGCCATCAGAAGTGCGCGCCAGGGAGGAACCTGTAACCCACAACACTATGCACTGTTTTCAGACTTAGGCAAAGCAGATTTTGGTGATGTCGATGGTACAAGAAGTTTACGTGCAAGAGAATTGTGGAGCAGCCCCACATACTACCTAGCGAAATCCCAGAAGGAAAGAGCAGTGGGCAGGGCAGGGGAGGGGAGGCTACTGGCTCCTTATAGGCTGAGGCAGGCCTTAAGATGGTTCTGTGCCTTTATTCTCTGAATGCCAGCGCTCGAATAGCCCTCGTCGCTGCAGACGCTCTGCAAGCTGCCCCTCTCGTCAGAATCGCTCGGGGGGCCGCTGCTGCTGCTGCTGCTGCTCCAGTCGAGGTCCCCGGTGAGATAGTCGGTGCTCTCCACGTCCACATCAATTTCTTCTACAACAGAAAGCCACGTCAGCCAGCCCAGGGGGCCTCTGGGGAGGGAGGGAGGGAGGGAGCAGGGGGCTGGTTTGGGAACGCGAAATGTAAGCAAGCCAGCAAACTCAGCAGAGCTTTTTGGCCCAGCAACTCATGCGGGAACTCGGAAGCGCGCACACGAGCGCCCATCAGCGCTTCCTCCTCACCTCTGTCTGAATCTGACCGTTCGGAGGACACGGTGGACCCCAGGCTGTCCATCCGTGTGCGTTCAATGCCCAGTTTCTCCAGCTGCCTCTTCAGATGCCGCTGTTCTCGCTGCAACTGATCTATTTGGTGTACTGCTTTCCTGTCATAATCTTCAAGTTTCTGTGGGAGGAAAGAGGCACGGGTGGGTCCCTGGACACGCAAGCTCTCCTCAGAGGGTGGAGCTATTCGAGGGCAGCTAAGCCGCTTTCAGCCACCGTCTCTTCCTCTCTTGCCATCTCAGCTACGGTTCTTTTCACACCTTTTGAAGGACCCTGTGAGCTGGAATCTTTTGCCTCAGCCTGTCATGATCTACTTAAAAAGGTGTTCCGGGCGCTTAAAAGTCTGACTGAGTTCATCCAATGAGATACTAACGCTGACTGAAATGTCAAACAAAACGTTTTTATTTTTTTTCTCCATCAGAAGCGTGATAGCTTGAACTCACCTTTATGTGCAATTTAGCTTTTGTAAGTAAACTCAGTGTAGTATGTCTACTGGACTCTGGCCCGAGAGGCACCATCCCTTTAAGCTTCTCCAGACACAATCGCAGATGGGCACGCCTGTCAATGAAACATTGGTCACTGATAAACAGTTTATTCAGCAATACTGAATTCGGTAAAATGAGGATCCAGACGGTTGGCGGGGAAAGAGGCTGACTCTGTAAACTGCTTGGGGAGGGCTGTGAAGCACCGTGAAGCGGTACGCAAGTGCTAGGCTATTGCTAATACAAGCTCTGCTTCTGAATCTGTGTTCTCTAATTAAGATTAACTATGACAATGCTTAAACACTGAATCACTTTTAACACTTGCAAGGTTGAAGTTAAAAGTGGTTCAATGTTTAAGCATGCTTTCTAGAAATTTATTAAACTTACATGCCGCCCATCTTCCCTAGAGATGACTCTAAGTGGCTTACAATCAATAAAAGCAACAATATGAAAGAAAACAATAAAAAGCAACAGTAAAATTGGTTAAAAATTGACAAAGATGGGACGGAAGGGAACAAGCTGCACACAGGGTGGACGGAGGCTCTTGTCTTACTCCACTGAGGATGTTCCTTTACCATCTCATTTTTGAAGGCTACTATTCAAATCAACTTTGCCTCTGTTCTTCTAGGCAAGTAAACTACTAGTTTAGCCAAGCTGTTATAATGGCCTAAGCCACTTCAGAATTCCACCTAGGTATTTATTTATAAAATTTATATGCTGTCCATCTCACTATCAAGTGACACTGGTGGAACAACATCAAGATGCACCAATTTTAAACACTAAATATTAAAAGACAAGAGAGAAGTGTAAATTCTTTCATGTCAAGTTATTTTACTTAAATACAAACAGCAGTACAAGTTTTCAAACCTAAAATAATAGCCTGCCATTGTTTCGAGTTCTGGATTACACTGTAATGTTTATAAAACTTTCTTGTAATTCGGAGAATACTTTGGAACTCCATAATCTATGATTAAATTAGCCAAGTGGCTTATTCACATTGGAAAGCAATCTGAAATAAGTTTTAAGAAGCATCCTAAAGAGAGGCAGATGTCACACCTCCAGAACCTCTAACAAGGGCAGGCATGGATATTGTCTCCATGCTGTTCATGTGACACCAATCCTGCAGGCATCCTTTCTTTTAAAAATCATAAGAAACACACAGAGCATCTCATGCAGGCATCAGGTTTCAAGAACATCCACATTAAATTTTGTTAAGTGAAGAATGTTCTTTCTGCGCCAACTCAGAAAGCTCAAACTGCCCAAGGAGCTGCTGATTCAGTTCTACAGAGGAATTATTGAGTCTATCATCTGCACCTCTATAATGGTCTGGTTTGGTTCTGCAACCCAACAGGACAGACACAGACTTCAGAGGAGAATTAGGACTGCAGAAAAAACAATTACTACCAACCTCCCTTCCATCAAGGACCTGTATCCTGCATGAGCCAAAAAGTGGGCTGTAAAAATATCTGCAGACCCCTCACATCCCGGACAGAAACTGTTTCAACTCCTTCCCTCAAAATGACGCTATAGAGCCCTGCACAGCAGAACTACTAGACACAAGGACAGTTTCCCCCCGAAAGCCATCACTCTGCTAAACAAATAATTTCCACAACACTGTTCAACTATTACAAAGTCTGCACTACTATTACTGTTAATCTTGTCATCACTCCTTATCACCCATCCTCTCCCACTTGTGACTGTATGACTGTAACTTTGTCGCTTGTATCCTTATATGGACTCTTTCCTAGTATGATTTGATTGCTTATTGTACCCTAGGACTATCATTAAGTGTTGTACTTTATAACTCTTGGTGAATGTATCTTTTCTTTTATGTATACTGAGTGCATTTGCACCAAAGACAAATCCCTTGTGTGTCCAACCACACTTGGCCAATAAAAGAATTCAATTCAATTCAATTCAATTCTATTCATCTGTAAATGTGTTAGAAATGCACAGGTTATTTCAATTCCTACTGATTCTACGGGAGAAAATGAGGAACTGAATTTGAGAACCGGCTGCATGACTTTGAAGTGAAGTTCAGAAGTTATTTTACTGGGTCATGATTTTACTATTTAAACAATGGGTTTTACTTAATGTAATTAATAAATGTTCAGATAAGTTTACTAATCCTTAATGAAGATCATTTCTATAAAAAGTGCTTTATAAATTTGTACTTTATTACATGTTTAACCGAGCAAGCAGAAGTAGCTTTATTTTTAAATTAGAAAATTTTATTAACAAAATCCCTAAAACTGATTCTTCAAACATAAAATTGGACCCATCCATGAAATGTTTGTCAGAATAATGGAAAGTGGGCTGCCAATCATGAAATAAACCTATAATTCAAAGTTGAAGATACAGCTCAGGCTAATATTAATAGTTGGTTTAGCTAGCCTTAAGGGTTGTGCCATAAATTCAAACATGTCCTCTCACTATTATTTCATTTTTGTATTAAAAACAAAATGAATTCAAAAAGGACTTTAAATGAAACTTTCTAAAGAAAAAGACATGCAAGCTGGATGAAAACTGAGTCCATCTAATATTCTGTTTCCCCAGTAATCAGCCCAGCCAGGAGGCCCACAAGCCGCATCCCGCGTCCTGTTCTCCAGGCAGAGGCACTGAAAGAGAGGCCGCCACTAATGTCACAGGGCCTCATGAGTAGCGACGAGGGGCAGGGCGGCGGCTCTTAAGCTTTATCCTCCACCAGTCCAAATTGCTCAGGATTTCCTGTTTTATTTTCATTATCATCTGCAAAATTGGTTTTTATACCAACTTATTTCTAAGTGTTTAATAGTTTGAAAAAAAGATCCAGGAAAAGCACATTCCAGTCAATATACACATGACAAATATTACATCCTGGATTCAAAGAATTTTAGTAGAAGTGTATGAGTTTGCATTTGTGGTTAAGTGCTAAATAAATATCCACTACCCAGTTGCCCTAAAGCTTATATTCTTATCTAGCAATCCAAGAAAAATATGCAAGTAATCTTTAACAAACACATTCAGATGAGAAACTAATGTCATAGGCTGAGAGTCTTAAATTTAACTTTAGATTCCATTTGGGTCAACCAACACAGAGGAACAATTTTATATAGAAATGCTAAAGGCTAGCTTGCAACAGTCAACTTGGCTCTCTTCCTGAAGAGCCACACTCCAGACTGTTTAATATATAAACAAGTGTCAGTTTCTTTGAGTAGCAAGAATAGTCAAACCACAAACTCTTTCCTAGGGTGAGGGATGCAGCAGGTCAGCTGGAAGTGCATATTGAAATTCTGACATGTCACTTCAGCATAGAATAGATCAAGGCTAGAACTAATTGCTACTAGCTCCTTCTCTTCTCTTAATACTGTCAGAACAGTAAAAACGGAAAGAATTTGGTTCCACTGTTTCTGTTTCCAGTGACAGAACATGCAGCATAAATGGCCCCTTTAAAAAGAAGTAACAATCAATATTGCAAAGGATTAAGACCCCAGACATAAACATTTGTCAATTCTACTTAATGGAGATCAGCCAGAAAAACTAGATTTGCACTGTTGTAATTTGCTTCAACAAAATATGCTATAATTTAAGGATGCTTTTACAATTTAAATATAAACTGTTTCTGAATGCTTACCTATTCTTCTCCATTTCATTATGTGTGGATCTTAAAGAGAAAAAAGAGGATCAATTAATTAGCAACTATGGAATAAACATGCATTGATAAAAATGAACTATACACAGTAATTTGTACCAAATTGGCACTGCTAATATTTATGTATATCTTCGACATAAGGAGTTCCTGATGGCACTTTTCTCTCCCTTATTTCCCGAAAAGAATCACTGGATAAGGTAGGTGGGCTGAGGGAGAAAGACCCAATTATCTACCGAGAGCGAGAATCACACTGGTGCTAATCCAATTCTTTAAGAAACTGTGGTCTTGTTGCTCCTACAAAATTTTATAACTGTGAAGGATCACATTGGTTATTCCAGCTATACTACCCTCCCCCATTTACAAATAGGATAAACTTAGCAAGGCTTGTAGTATCTAAATTTACAATATTTCAAATGACAAATTAAGCGCAGACTCTTCAACCTTAGATTGTCATAGGACTGAACCAATCTATAGCCTCCCAATATTAAGTGAAAATCCATCTCATGAACATTTAAGCCATTTTTCCTTAAATTACTTTCGCTAATTACTATTATTAATAAAGATATGCTACTAACATGTAACTGGAACATACTGCGGAAATTACCTCACTACGCTAAATGCCTCTCAAGATTTTATCTGTGCTGCTGCTGAATGGTGACTGAGTAATTATGTAGAAAAACATTTTCTTAAGGCCAGCTGAACAACTCCCTGAATTTCCTAAGGTCCCTGAGGAAGAGAAGCAACCTGTTCTCCATCATGCCTGGTCACTGGCTGTGCTGGTAGGAATTTTGACTTCTCCCAACATATTCAAAACACCTGACAAACACCAAGACTGTTTCTAGTTTTGTACAATAGTATTTTACCTTGTATGAAGTGACTAATTTTGTAATTGGTTAAGGCTCTTGTACTCTTAACATAGCCCAGAAGTTTTTTCTAAAGTCTAAATGGTGAGTTTTAGCAAAGGACTCCAGGACTCTGCACTTCAGCCTCAGCTCTTAGGAATTCCCAATCTTTTCATTAGAAGCCTTGTCTCGTGGATGGCACCACAAAAGCCGATTTAATCTGATCATTTGTTCATGGATTCTAATAATAAGGAAAAAAACATTCCAGGAATGACTGAAGTGGGAGGAAGTTAAACTCTTTTCTAGCAAGATCATAATTTCTCAGTTGCTTCCTTCCTGCTTAGCAGATGAACAGAAAAGTAGGAATAACTCTGAAGGCAAATAAGGTCACTGAAGCCCACAGTAGCAGTAAATTAGACACGGGCAACTTTGGTTTACATGACACTAAACTGGGCCAAAAATGGGTCGAAGGGTTTGGAGTTTAGCATCCGGCGCAAACCCCGTCCTTTGTCCTAAGCAGCGGGTCACCGTGAGGCTCTGATGGCCTCTATTGGTTGAGAACAATTGGGTTTTATTCGCCTCAATTTCATGGGTTGTGAGAATTGACCCAAGTAGGGCTGGGCACAGGAGAGAAAACGCCAGAGAGGGACCACAATTGCAAGCTTTTTTTTCTTTCCCCCTCCTGGAAAATCTCCCCATTTTCAATGCCTCAGTGAAGGGTAGGTTCCCTCCTTAACCTGCTCGCAGGACTCACTGGAAAGGAGGCGGCTTCCGAGAGGCCAAATATGAAATGCCGCCGGTAGTCGTGGAGGTTTTGTTCCCGGCGGAGGCCCCCGACCCGACGATCGGGCAGGGCTTTCCCGGGAGGGGGTCGGAGGAGGAAGGGAGGGAGGCCGCCTCATCCCGGCCTGGCTGGAGGGAAAGCGAAAGCGGCCTCGGATCTCGGGGGCTCCGGGGAGGGCGGAGAGCCCGGGGGACCAAGCGCGTGAAGGGCCCGGCCACAACCGGGAGACCTCCGGCTTCCAGGCCCTTTGAAGGCTGGGCCAGGCCCGGGGAGGAGGAGGAGGAGGAGGGCGGGGGGGGGGGGGGGGGCCGGGGGCGCGCCCCCGGGGCCGGCGCCGGGCGGGGCCCCCGCCGGGCCGGGGGGGGGGGCCCCCCCGCCCCCCCCCCCCCCCCCGCCGCCTTACCTGCTGCCGCCGCCGCCGCCGCCGCCTTTCTTGGGCCGGCTCCTCCGCTTGAAGGCCTCCCTCTCCTTGGCGCTGAAGGGCAGCAGGGAAGCGTAGCCGTGCTCGGCTTCTGCGGAGGAAACGCGGCGGGGCCCTGAGCAAGGCCGCCCCTCGCCCCCCCCCCCCGCCGCCGCCGCCGCCGCCTTTGTCTCCGGCCCTCGCTCGCCTGCCGCCCCGGCTCGACGCCCCCCTCTCCCCCGACTGGGGCCCGGGCGGGGGGCCGCGGGAAGGGCCTCCCTGCCGGAGCCGCTTTGTTCGCGCGGGGGGGAGGGGGGGCGGCCTACCTCGCTCGCGGCGCTCCAGGAACTCGGCCGCCTCCAGCAGCATCTGGATGTTCTCGCACACCTGCGCGGCGGCCGCCATTTTGCCGGCTTAGCCGGCTCGTCCTCTCGCTTCCCCGCAACGCCGCCGCCGCCGCCGCCGCCGCCTCTGTTTACCCCACCTCAGCCTGACAGACTCGACGCGGCCAAGCCCGCCCCCTGCGACCGCAGGCCAACCCGCTCCCCGCCCAAGCGCGGCCGCGATTGGGCGGCCGGCGCTGCTTCCGCTTTCCCGTTTCTCTCATTGGCCCTAAGCGGAACAGAAAACACCACCAGCTCCGCCCCCTCCTTTGGTCCGGGCATCGGCTCGGTCGCTGGGAGGCGCTTCATCGCGATAATCGTACCGATTGATTGGACGAGCCCCGGGATGACGTTTCCTTCGACGGTTCCGTCGCTATTCTGCTTTGCCTGCAAAGGGAAGCCTCATTGGCCAGCCACGGCGGAGCAACATCCCGTGGCGGCTGTCATAGGTCCGCACGGGTCCCGAAACTCCCTTCGGCCTTCGGATTGGTCAATGCCCCCAGGCGCCCCGCCCTGTTTATTGTGTTGGTTTCTGGGCTTGGCCCCACCCCCGGCCACGCGTTTGTTCCGTGGTCCCGCCCAACCAGAAGGAAGTCAACATCGAGCCAGCGGGGAGCATGCGCACTGCTCGCCTCTTCCACCTCCAGGCCGAACGGCGGCCTTCAAAGCCAGGGCGCCTCCTGCGGTCGGTTCCCGGCCTTGGCTACAGCAAGAGCGACCCTGGTGCGATGCAGTTGCAGGACTTCAACTCCCAGAATCCCCAAGGCACACACCTTAAAAAGCAGGATGGCTGGCAATTCTGGCAGTTTTAATCCACATAAGCGAAGCCTTGCCAATGCTTGTCCTCTGATCCCAAGGAGGCCCGTCTCTCCCGCAGGAAACCACCACCCTGCTGGGTAGGAAGACGGGCCCGCTGGGGTTGCAGCGGAGGAGCAGGTGCCCCAAAGGAGGCCGCCTGGATGAACCTGGGCCTGGCGGGGCTCCCCCCACGCTTAAAAGGAGGGAACCGATCCCAGGTTGAGGCCACCCCTGCTGAACGCAAAGCCCCAGAACAATAGGTATGGAGAAAGTACCTCGTATTTACATCAACGTATCATTCATATATTTATTATAAATAAATATACAATTCCACGGGTGCTAAAATAATTATATAACTGGAAGTTCCAGCTTTATCTGTTCCCAGGTTTTCTCAAGGTGGTTCCACCTGCAGACTCAGCCCATTTTAAAATGGGACTCTCACCTGTCCGCTTTATTTTTAGGACACCACAGAAGGTAAGAACTGAAGCAGCAGCTCCTGGGATGAGAAGCGAAACGTCTTCAAAGAAAAAAACAGAACGTCCAGTTGCCTCTTGAAAAAAAACACCTCTGGGACAACCAGGAGACCTGGATGAATCTCCCTAGACAGAAGGTAAGAACAAAACTAGAAGGTTTTACTAAACAAAAGCACCCGTACAAATTACCATTTAGCAATATTTCACATCCCAGTAGCCAAAACAGCACCCAGAACGTCTTGTAGAGGCAACTGTCTGTTTGCAACCCTTACATCTGTTGGCTTCTAGGTTTGAGCGTGGGTGGAATAAATCCTAGTATTACCATTCTAGGTCAAAGGAAGCTAAGCGTTCGATTTTAATCTGGATTATACCTCTGCTGAATTAATTATTGAAGCAAACTTACTGTTCAATAACACACACACACACAAAAAGGAACCCCATTTCTACACAGAATTAAATCCTGTTCCATAAACATGACTCCCTCTTGAGTAGGCTTGCAACTGCAGCAGCATCAAGGATAAGTTTTGATTATGCCTTTGAGGAAACAAATCCACATTCTTCTGTCAACAATGCACACAGATACCTAAAAAGTAGATTCCTCACCCTGGCACAAGCAGTGGGAAGCTCTGCATAGCTTCGGTCTGGATTGAAACACAGTGGAAGAGTCAGCAGCCTGAGCACTGCCAGTCAGCTGGCGTGAGCTAGTCTGTCCCCCACGGGGCACCAAGGATAGACTTGCAAGTGCTGAGCAGGAAGAGCTGGCGGCCATTTAGGCCCTCAGGACTGCACTGTGTGTCTAGCAGGGGTAGATTTCCCTGACATCGTAGGCCGCATGCTAAGTAAGTAAATAGTGGCTTGCAAATCACGCCCTGCCCCCAGCCCATTCCCATTCCTGTTAGTGCAACAGCGGTGCTGCTGGGTTTTCATAATCATTCTTAAATTCTGCACTGAACACAGAGGCGATGTAATTATGCAAATCAAATATCCCAAACAATGCCAGTGAATTCTGGAAGAAATTAAGGGCCTGATACAAAGGAGGGAAGCTCTTCCATCACTTGCTGGCTTGAGTGCCCCCTGCTGGACAGAGACGAAGAACACAGGATCTGAAGGAAGGTGGCTGAGGAGGAGGAAGCAGCAAAGGATCCTGCTAAGAACCAATTGTCTTCCAGGTACCGTTTAAAAAAAAAATCAAGAATGGAAAAATTAAGTTCTGTAAACATTAACATATTTTAGGAACCAAATTATTATCAATTTTTGATTCCGTCTTTTAGAAAAGTTGGTCTAGTTCAACTTTACTCAAGGAGACAAGGTGTTTCTTTTTTTAATTTAACTGACAATATTTAAAAGAGGAAACCTACAAATGTGGAATAGCAACATCAGAAAAACCACTCTGTGCAAAAGATACATTTGAAACAGGGAGAAAATTACCATCTCAGCCTAAGAAATGTAACTTCAAGGAATTATTCACAAAAACGACCCTAACCATTTTTGGATGAGAAGACAGAACCTTCTCAGCCAGACAGACGAGACTTCAATGGAGTTTTTTATCGGTAGCAACTGCAGACGCATCAGGCAATAAAGTCCAGGGGCCTGTTGAATCCACCTTTTCTGTTCATGTACTGCCTGCAACAAGAGAAATAAATAGGACCAAAGTTTTCCACAATATCCCACATTTCTAAAATTTCAATAGCATTTTTAAATGTCAATTTCAATATACCCAGATATAAACAAAATAGGTGTATGAAGCCTGATATACTTACTTATTGCAGTTAAAAAAAACCCAAACCACAAAAAGCTGTCTGTCTGTTTGTCTCTCACACACACATACACATACTGATTTAAGTAATACCTGAAATGGCACCACAGTGCACGGGGCAGATATACCAGTAGATTTGGGGAAATATAAAAATAGATCTTAGAGACAACTCCACTTCCAAGTAACCATGTAAAGACTCCAAGCTGGCTAGTGGCCACCTGAAACTATTCACCCACCGGATGGAAAACCAAGAACAGGGAAGCCTGAATGGTAGAAATTCTCCCGGGTCTCTTGCATGCTCTCAGTCCTCACAACGCAGAAGTATCTGCCGGATGATAAGATGCTTTCATCAAATGACAAAAACAGTGTTGTGCTACTGCAACACAAAGGTTGTCCCTTGTGTATGTGTGCACGCAGGGCCTGATAAAAAATGTAAGAAGTCTCCTCAAAGCTGTGCTTGTTTTTTAGATACATTTCATATAGAAGTAAAGCTTCAAGCACACCGTCATGGCTCTTGGCCATGCCCTGCGGATGCCCAGGTGTGATGTTACGATGCACTTGCGAAAGAGGCATAGCTCACCCCCCAGTGCGGCTGTCTTTCTGCTTGTGGATGCTTCTGCCAGAAAGGCAGCCCACACATCTAAGGTACCAAATAAAAGGGAGCCACGGATTGAGGCAGGTCGACAAAAGGAGAAGGCTAAAGGACCTTGGGGGATCTTCTGTCTTTAAGTGCCAAAAGATCTGGATTATCCTGAGACTTTGACCAAGTAGGTCACCGAATGCCTAGGCATAGGAAGACATATAAATGACCCCATACAAAAGGTACCAAAGGCTTTGAACTACCATGCCAGCAATGGACTGGGTTTGCAATAGGATTTGCAGCTCACACGGCGTCTGCTGGAACCCTCGGTATAGCATGGAACAGCATCCTGCCCTCAGTGTAGCTGCAGGGCCCCACGTCAGACTGTAGACCACAATGTGACTGGGCTGTAAGCTGGGGGCATAGATCAGACCAGTATCTGATTTTCTTTATCTGACCGATGCTGCGCTTCAATGGTTAGATGGTCCAGGCACTGTTATTTTGAGCATAGGCTTTTTAATAGTTATATTTTAAGGCCCTTTATTAATCTAGGTGAAATGCTAGCCCATGTAAGCCATATAGGCTAAATAGATACTTTGACTTGGGGAAATGAGTTTTCCTCGGTTTTATTTTAGACAAAGGTATTTGGACCAGCTTTACAAATTAATTTTCATCATGGAATAATTTTACCTGAATCTAAGGAAAGACACCTTAAATCAATTACTCTTAGCAGATACATTTATTGGACTGAATTCAGGAACTGGAGGCCGCACCCTGTTCCTTCCCACAAGAACAGTCCTGTAAGGTAGGTTTGGATGGGAGGGAGGGAGGGGCCGTCTCCAGGCCCTCCAGGAAGCCTCTATAATTGAGCAAAGACAAGAATCTGGGTCTCCCAACACCTTCACTGTTATCCCTGGCTGTTCTAGAGCTAAGTAAGTACATAGGGGATTCTCTTTCACAAAGCCAGAAATCCTTCGTTTCCAGAAAGAGTTAAGAAGGAACCCAACGCCACTTTGCAAAGGTTGTGTTGACCAAAGGATACTGAGCAAAGAGGGTCCAGCACCTCCTCTGCTCAAGGACCAATCTGGGCAAGGGAATAAATGCCAACCTGTATTTCCGTTTCTGCGACACGTTTACAGCATACGCGTTTACAGATCCGTCTACTTTCTTGCCCTGCAAGACAAAGGAAAAAAGCGATCCCTTTCAAACCACTGAAAGGAGGGCAATCGTCCTCTCACCAATTTCCTCCTGCACTGCTAGCCCAACATGTTTCATTCTGCATTACTCCCAGACTCAGCAGAAAGTTTACCACCTACTCGGAAACCAGAGACTGATTCATCTCGGAGGAAAGGCACAATAATAATGCAATGAAATCACTATGTTTCAAGAAATATAGTCCCCTTTTCTGTTTCTTTAAGAACTTCAAGTGTTTGGAAGTCTGCCAACTGCCACAAAGCCACATTTAATTATTTCCAAAAGAAGAAAGTCCGACGGCTTTTCTGATCTCTTTTCTCAGGGCGCTGCTACCAAGGAACCTGGGGAATGAAATCCCCCTCTGTTAAAGAGATCCTAGAAGGACCCAAAGGAGAAAGACTAGCTATGGATCTGACAGATGAAAGAAAGAAAGGAAGGATGGCTCACAAATGGAAAAATAATTGGAAGCAGTGGCATCCATATGGGGGGGGGTGTAAAAAAAAGACCAGGTGACAGGGGCAAGGCATCGTGGGGGCGAGCTCCACCCCTGTTGTGGTAGGTGATGTCCCACGCTCACCTCCCGCCACCACACTGTTGCATCCCCAGACTTGTGATATCTGAACAGAATAACAGTTGGAAGGGGCCTTGGAGGTCTTCTAATCCAAGCAGGAAAACCTCGAGTGCCAGAACATCCACACCTCCTAGTTAATTGTTCTCTCCTTAGTTCTCGGTTGCTTCTCTCCTTGACTAGCTCCCATCCGCTGCTCCTTGTCCTGCCCTCAGGTGCCCTCTCTCACAGCAGGGTTTCTCAAAAGTTGACCTCAGCACTCACCAATTTTGTGACTTTTCTGTACAATGCAGACATCCTTCCACATCCTGCTTGCTGCTTGCCACTTTAACAGCAGATGTAGCTTACATACGCATTTTAAAGTTTAAGGGAAAAAAATCTGCTTGCCTTTGTGGTATCGAATGAGCCAAATCCCATCATTTTCATCATTTCGATTTCTTCTTCTGTTTTGCCTTCCAGGTCTTCTTCTGTATAAGAAAACAACGTATGACACGGAGATAAAATATCTAATTCCCAACCTGACCATTATCTAATATCAAGTATAACAAATGATCCTGGAACATCAACGCAACAGCAAACTCCTTGACTCAAAACTCAGGGCAACCAAAGCTTTTCCTGTATTGTAGCTGAGCCTGAAATGATCTAAGCTGCAAGTCGACTTATAGCTGGATGGCCACCAGCCTCACCGTGGCCTCATCCATGAAAGGGATCTATGAGCACTTGGGCCTAAACCTCACGGTCGGTGGAGAGTCTTATTTTTAAAAAGTCACACCATCATCTTATGCAACGATGGGGAAGGAGGCCGCCTTTAAAAGGTGCTGCCCGTTTCCTGGGTCTATCCAGTTAGATTTTCTATTTAACTTTTGATACTACTGTGGGAAAGGTCTAGAAAAACACTTGTGGGGCTGATCCCCACAAACATATTTTCCTTTTCTTCAAGAAACTGATCCCCAGGTAGAGACCCCATAAACTAAGAAGTTATTGCATCAAGTCCAATGTGTGTTATTGCCTTTTTGTTTTTCATTTTATTAATTTTTATTTTTCTATTTCAATTTTTAACCCCATGCATGCAGTCCTGCAATTTTGAACAGAATATTGTCAGAAGTGCTCAAAAAATAGACCAAACCACAACAATTGTAGTCAGGGAGGACTGCGCATTGGAAACAGGCGCTGATCTATTAGAATCGATCAAGAATGATGTGGAAAGCATTTACAATTTAAATACAGGACATTAAGAGAACTGGCATCAACATTTCACCTTTGAATGTGTGGCAGTGTGTTCACAGAAGTGACAGCAGAGCTTATCTTGACCTTGTCTTATGGTAAGAGTCAGCTCTCAGTAAAGGGATGGGGAGGTTTTGTGCTCTCCAAGACCAGGAAATGACCAAACAGCCCAGTGCTGATTGTTCAAAGGCTTCCCTGTCCTTTTAGAAGTCCAGTGCACAAAGGAGTGGAAACCAGAACCCCACAGCAAGGTGCACCACCTGCGTTGCTACCTGTGATTTGACGCTCTTTGTCTTTGCTGTCCTTCTTCTCATCCTCTCGCCTTTCTTTTTGCCGGGAAGGAGAAGCAGAACTTGATCTATGCCGCCGAGGAGATCTGGAATGTCAAACCAGCGCAGGTTTCACTTTAACAGCAAAGAAAATTATGTATTTGTATTATGAGACAAAATGAAGAGCACTTTGATTATTTTCAAATAACTAGAACAGGGCCATTAAAGCAGAAGGAAAGGATGCATGCTAGAAGCATAACTGCATCCTCAGGCAATGATCCCTGTTTTGTTTTCCTTTAATGTGGGGAAGTGGCAGGAAAAAGAGCAGAGTTGGACCAGTCTGCCTATCAAAGGAATGGAGTCCTTCTTGGGGATGGTTATTTACAGTCATTCCAGTATGGGCAGCCTAGCCTAACAGCTAAAGCAAAATACATACAATTTGAAATATTAACACAGAGCTGTACATTTGTTGTATTTTTAAGCTTTATATGAAATTATATTTCTAATACAATGGAAACTATTAGACAATACAGTGCAGCAAGGGTAGTATATGTATAAAACGATATCAAAATATAACTAGCAAGAATATAGCATCCTTGTAGAGCTGTATGTTATTAATATTAAAATGATCATCTTGATGTAAATTATCCAATTTTGTTTTGGTTGTCAGACATAAATTATTTATTTGGATACAATTATAAATATTAGTTATGTTTGCAGGATTAACCAAAATCTTTATAATCAACAGTCCAATAAATTTGTAGCCATGACATTAATTAATAACTTCAATTTGATTACAATTTAATGAACAGATATTAGAAAATCAGTAATCATATATATTTTTCTTTTTGAAATAACTAATTGGTGAAAGAATCTGAATGAGATTGTACAATTCCTAAAGTCTCTTTAGATAAAAAGTGTTTATTTAGAAGACAGTTTTGATGTTTCCAAATTTATATTAGATGAAATAAATAATTCTGCTCTGTTATAATTTCCCACAACAATGGCAGTCGGCAGGGCTATTCTTATTTAGCCGACTACTCTTTATAGAACAAGTTAGCCCAAGGGCTAGTCACTTTCTCACCTGGATCTTCGTCTATGTGGCGAACGAGAACGACTTCTCCTTCTGTCTCTCTCTCGAGATCTTGATCGCTCCCGCCGCCTCCTCTCTCTTTCACGTGAGGTGGATCTGGAACGCCTCCGTTCTTTTTTACAGAGTAAAACAACAGAGGCAGTAAGTCCCCTGGATGAAAGGGGAATATTTCTCCCAAACTAATACATCACACCTGAAATACCGTTACAAGGTCAGCAAATTTGGTCCTCCAGACACTTTATAGACTGCTCCAATGTCAAATAATACTTTGAAGGATCCTTGGTGTTTTCTTGCTGACATTTAAATAATACTGTTTTCCCCCCTGAGGTCTATGCTTTTATTCAACAATTTCTCTTGGTTTACAATAAGCCAAACAGATTCAAAAGAAAAACACAAAAGGGATTTTGCCATCAATTGTTAGGTGTCGCTTCAACCACCCTTCTATATCCTGCAACGTTCCCTTAAAGATGAAGGATAATCGACGTGGCGGATACTGGAGAAAAGCTACGGCCCGAAACCCCGGATCAGCCTAAGAAGGAGAGCCGCTTTTAGCGGTATACCGGATCGACCAGCTTTCGCAGGAAAACTAGAAATGCCTCATCGTCAAGGCATTTCAATCCGGTTTTTTTTTTAAATTTAACCTTAAATCCAGGGGAAGGAAAGGAGAAGGGACGGGAAACGCCAGGGCTCCGCTGCGGCAGGTGAGAGCAGAAGGCCACGAATCCCCACCCCCCCCCCTCCCCGCCTACGATCGGAAGCCCCCGGAGGCCCCGTCCCCGGAGGAGCCTTCCTCTGCGCTGCGGCAAAAGGCCGCCCGCCCGCCCCGACCTGGCGTCCGATCCCCATCTCGAGCGGGGGAAAGCCTCCCTCGGGGCTGCCTGCCTCAAGCAGGGCAAGGTGGGGGGGCGGGGGGCGGCCTCCCCGCAGCGGAGGGAAGAAGGCCGGGAAGCCAGAGACCCTGAGGGCACCCCGACCAAACAGGCCTCGCCACCCCGCTCACCCCTCCGCGGAGGCGACCGGGACCGGCTGCGGCCCATCGCGCGCGACTCCTGCCCGGCGACCGACCGAGGCGAAATACGCTTCCGGCGTTTGCTCCCGGAACTTCCGGTGAGATAACGGCCCGAGCCTCCCGCCTTGCACCTCCGGGCGGAAACGGCCCCCGCGCCAGACGTTCCGCCAGGGGAATCGGGCGGAACCGGCTGGGGAGACAGGCGCGCGTGGCTTTGGGCCGACCTGGGTGGGAATTATGGTTTTGGGTACCCAAAGGGTACCCTTTTTGGGTGGCTGATACTCCTCCCTAATCATTATTATTACATCCCGAGTTTTGAATGTATAGCTACAGTGACCACATCTCCTTTATTGTAAAGGCAGTCCTCTATTTCAGAAAATCTTTATTAGAATATGCATTTTTTGTAGTTTTTCTTCGGTTTGATATTGAATTTTCATTTGAAAATACGTTTATAACAGTTACACTTTTTATCCTTTTGAACCTCTTTCAGATTTGCCTCATTTTCAGGTTCTTAATTTTTCCCAATACAATATGGTCCCTGTATTATAAAGCAGTGAACCTGGCTAATATTCCTGCCGCCTCTTTCCCCCGACAACCTTGTGAGGTGGGTTCGGCTGAGAGACAAGCAGTCACCCCATGTCCTGCAGCAACTCTTGTTCAGGGTGGCCATCTGGCTGTTTTTCCGGCCAAATTCGAGAAATCTGGCCGTATTTCTATCTGCTTGGCCGTGAAAAAAATGATGTCTCCGGCCAAATTTATTTATTTGGCCGTACGAAAGTTGCTTGGCCATGAATTCGGCCAGATCTCTCCTTCCTTCGTGCATGCACGTCACCATGAGCAAAAGGAGGACAAGCGCGTCCTCTGGTGCTCTCCTTCCCTCGCGCATGCGCAAAAAATAATTTGGCCGAATTTTGACTTGAGTTTGGCCGCAGAGCCAAACTGCGATCTGGCAACCCTGCTCTTGTTTAAAGAGGCCTAGAACTCACCAGCTCCTGGTTTTAGGCCTCTTGTCCACTTTCCAGAACTGTTTCTCCCTTTCTGCCTGCTTCCATTAAAGGGTCAAAGGATGTCCAGGGAGAAGAACTCTAGCATCCACACATTAGTTTTCCCAGGATGGTCAGCTGCTTTTTCTGGATTTTCCTGGGTGAAACTTGACACCTAGGAACTCTTGGTCTTTGGGCTGAAGCTTGGCTTTTGTACTCCTTTTTATTGATCACCCTGGTCAATATACTAGAAGCATTTAATTTACTATCTAGCCCACCTGACATTCAACTGCTGAGAAAAAGTATAATCTGGAAAATGGAATTTCTACCTTTAATCTTTCAAAACAGACTTTCATGGGCCTGATAGTTTAGCTTTTGACTTAAGTGTCTTGTGCTGGTTCATATAAAAAACAGAAATTTCCAGAACAATTTGGTACTCTGGTAAAAGTTTATTGGTATATGCTTTTTTCTTTTTAGACCAATCAGATGAGACAAAAAGCTGTTTAAGAAGTCTCTTATTCAGACATTTAGCAATGTTTGGCCTAGACTTTTGGAGTCAGGGTTGGGGGTGGCCACACCACCGCCTTGGCAGAAGAATACAAATGCTTTACTACCATTAGATGGTCAAGCAGAAGAGTGTGGACAGCCACTTTTAAGGAAGAAACATGCAGCAGCAACAGCAGAATGGCGAAGCAGCACCGCTGGGAAGGCCTCAGTTGCTACCTCACTAAATTCTTTTGAAGATAGTACCTACTCCTGTGTTTGGAAACAGTACAATATAAAAAGGAAGATATGAAATTGCCAAGGAACACAAACCATCAAGAAATAAGTTGCCTGTCTAATTTTCTCAAGAAATGTACAGAAAGAAAAATACATGGATTTGTGGAATGATTGAATGAAAGAGGAATCTTGAGTTGCACAAGTGATTGCCTGATAACAAAATTCAAAGGTAGACTTTACAAAGTCAGTCAAAGGCCAAAGTGGGGTTGTCTTTATTTACAGAGGGAAACATTAAATAGCACTTTAAAGCAACGATTGTCAGACACAGACATTTAATTTTGCAGCTCACTTGAGACACATCGCATTATTATTACATTTCCTTCTGGCTGACTTGGACTTCTCTCTGATAATTGGGGGTAGGTGAGACATCGTGTTGCCCATTAACTCCCATGGCCACTTTTTCTCCTTCTCTGTGGAAGAGCACATCCAAGGACTTGAGACTACATGTCGTTCAGCCATCTCTTAACCAGTAGGCTATGCTTTAATAGTTGAGACATACTCCAAAGGAGCTAACCAACGTGATCCAAGAATGAACTGCCTGCTACACAGAGATAAACCTAACAGTAGTTCTGGTTTGACGTTTCTTAGATATCAATCATAATTTCAGCACAGTATCACTGCCTTTTCCTTGTTTTAGAAATGTTACTTTGTTGTTTTGTCTCAACATCTCTGTTGAGATAATTAGCTATGTATATTCTGCGGTCACATTGTTTTGCAGATATAAGAACTGGTTTAGGGCACAAGATCTTGCACTCTGGGATTATACATCACTTCTAAGACCATACAGAGACCATCCTGGTGTGCCTGTGTTTCCTGCTCATCTTTGCCCACTTCCAGATCAGCGGTGAAACCCTCAGATTGTCCCATCAGCATCAAGTTCTTTTGAGAGCCAGAACAGGTGAAGATGGAAGAGGCCAGGCTCTGAGCCACAAATGGGCAGGCTTAGTTTAAGGTCCAGTGTGAAAAAGAGCTTAAAAGCATTACTTTTTCATCTTGGATTCCTTACTCAGATGAGCTTTTCTTTCTCTCCAACTTAAATACCTCTCTTCCAAGTCTTATAAAGGGAAAGGAGAGGCGGTTGGTATTTAATTACACATTGACTTGCTTGTTATTTTCAAAGGGCTATAATCCATCAGGAATCTATTTAGTGTAGAATAGATAATGCTTGAGAAAGGGTATCTAATAGGATTTTTCAAGATTTCAGATATTATAAGGAACATTTCACTGTTTTAGCCAGATTTTTTTGCTTTGAGGAATTATGCAAAAAATGGAACTGACATCCAGCATAGTTGAGAGAAATGACCCTCTCAAAATGAGAGAGCAGTGGCTAAAAATAATGGAAAGATCCAAGGACTACAACAGGTAATCTTTACCGAGAGAAGAGTTTCCAGTTGGCTATAAATAAGACTTAATGTGATCTTCTCTAAGATTTTAATCTCCCCATCATCTTTCAGTCCCTCCTGTTTCTTAGAGCTCATGTGAGACTAAAGCTGCTATCGGACCAGACAGAAACCAAGGCTCCTTTCAGCTGGTCCTCCCCGCTCCTAGCATCGGGCCTGACTTAGCTGTTCCCTTGGCCCCAGGCAGCCCTGGCTCCCCGGATCCTCTTAGGCGAGTGGACCCAGAGGCTGCTGAGGGCATTTGGACAACGGCTCTCCCCTGCCCCTGCCCCCCATTTTGAAACTCGGAAAGGAGGAGGAGCTCCTTGGTTTAATGCCTTCCTACAAAACCTTCAGCCCTCGGCCTCCGACTCCACTGGCCTCTGAAAACACCCCCAGGGCCAAGCAATGGCCAGGAAGCTTTGTGGCAGGCAACTCTGAAGGGGGAAAAAAAAGGATCTTACAAGTTTTGCATTTTTGCAGCACCTACTTTACCCCCACTTAATAATGTTATATCTGATGAAAAAGGCTCTTGTTCATGGGGTGACTTCAATGGCAACATGAAAAAATCGCGGCTGCCAAGAGGTACAACCTGAACTGATCCGAGAGACGGTGGAGCCCAGCTCAAAAAATCCCAAGAGTCTTGATCCCTCCAATTGCCCATGGGCAATCCATTTACTTACTTGATTATGTGCCTTTTTTTTTTTTTTGTTTCCAGGGAACTGTTTTGCTTCAGCTGAAGGATGAGGCCAAAGACTGCGCCAGAGCCCCAGTTCCTTTTTCAAGAACCCCAGAGTCCCTAAGATTTAGGCTAGTCTGGTGTTCTCTCTCCACTATTTCACAAGGCTGTTCTTTGTCGGACTGCTTGGTAGTAAAAACAGGGGTTGTTGATAGCATTTGTTTAGCTGCTGTACTGACACACAAACTGTCACTCAATTGATTGCCTCAGTTGTTTCATCCTTGGGTATGCCACTGAAGCAACAAAATCAGGAAGGAAGGTGCATTTTGATTTAAATATCTACTTAAGCTGAGTTCTCAACTTATGCCCTTTTCTTTTACCGAAGTTTGACCCTTGGGATCCACAGCCGAGGGCTCCAAGTGCTTCATGGACCAAGCAGCCGCTTTTCAACCTGGTCAGCTGGCCAGAAGCAACAGCCCAGAAGGGGAACATACAGACCGGGGCAAACCAAATCCCCCTCAGCCCCCTCCTAGGTGGATTCTCTGTACATGCCCATCATTAAATTTCTTACCAGAATTAGCTGGTTTGCGGAAGCACCAAATACTGAGATATTTTTATATTTTGCTAAACATCTCCAGCTGTTTACTTTGCATATTCTGAATTATTTACTTCTCAATTTCCTATTGAGAACCAAAGAGAATTTGGTTCTTGTTACAAGAGAAATGAGCAGCTATTTGCAAAGTAGCAATTTACGTTTTGAAGTACAAAGAAAACTTGCCTTTACATCAAGTTCAAGCAGAGGAGGACCCGACTATTTTACCCCACCAAACAGTATGATGCCTTCTCATGGGTGTTCCCACAAGCACGTACACAAAAGGAGCAATGCAGCACCTGCGCCAAGACAAATTCCTTTTGTCCAATCAAGAATTCTATTCCTATCCTATCCCATTTGCTTTCCATGTGAACTCGCTCCCTTCTAGGATGCAGAGCCTGATCTCGACAGCTAAGTCACCCTGAATTTTATCGCAAGGTGGATCTCAGGACATCCTTCCCGTGCTTGCAATTTGTAAAATTTTAGGTAAGTCAACCCCAACATATGAGAAGGTATGAAAAATGTCACGCTGCATTGGGTTCAAGTGGGCTGCCCACTCACTTGCAGCATCGCTTGGCCAAATGCCCCACCTCCAGCTCAAAGGAACGGCTGGTTTCCCCCTTTGTCTGTCTTTGGCTACTCAGGAGGAATTGCTCTGCGTGGAGGTTCCCTTCTGTGCC